TCGAGCTCGGTAATATATATTCCATAGATAGGAGTGGAGTTTGATGTAAAGGTGTGAAAAATTGATGATAGTAAAATAAAAATCATTTCGTTTTTTTTCATATAATTTTATTGCAAGTAGGCAAATCTAAGCATTAGACAAAAGTAGGCAAATTTCAAAACTAATTTAGAATCACCTAAACCGATAAAAGATTGATTGAAAGTAAATAGTCATTATATCTGAATAAAAAATTAAAGAATTATGTTGTTTTTAACAAAATAAATAAGTCAACAATCTTGCGAAATTTGTTTCCATTTGAATGACAATATTTGAGACATATTTTCCTAAACCTGGACAAATAATGTTGCAACTCTAACTCACCTCGTTTATCCCACTGCCTAGTCAACAGTGTTCTTAATTAGTTTAGTGTATTAATATATCTAGCATAGATATTACGACGCGCAGTCTGAAGACGCTATCTTCTGGAATGGTGATTCATTGTATTATTCGAAACTATACCTCGAAATTGGAAATGCCTAATAGATGGTCAGACATGTGCCGCGTGTATTGCATTCATGAAAGATTCCACGTTTGGAGGGCGACATGCCTGGCACGCGACATGATTAAACGGACACGTGTTTATATATCGGCGAAGGCCATTGAATGGATGGTATCTAAGTTGGATGTTTATGGAACACGACCCTATTAAACAAACACATACTGGTGGAGGCCACGAATTGGATTGTAACTATTGCCAGCATGCAATTTGATTTAACTGTAACTCTGTATGAAGACCGTTGATTTGCAGATTGGGACGACACACAGTGTGCACGGTGCAGGGTTCGTGAACCAAGCTCTGGGAAGGTGACATTAGACAAACACACACTAATACCACCAGATATTCCCAATTTTGGGTGGAGGTTTATGGTAATGAATTGTATCATTTTGAGAAAACTTTGTACCTGATATCATTTTGTCCTATATTTGATGACAGCCATCGTAGTAGATAGTTTTTTTAATGTTTTGTTGAATTTACGTTTGCGTACACTGCATATCTTTGTGTATAATAAATCACAGGGAGCCCAGGAACTATAATCAACGAGGTCACGACTCGGTTAGCCTTGCTCAACTGGTTCGTAACCAATCTTGTGATTGGTTGTTGACAAATGCTGAACAGGCCACGCCTCCAACGGTGTCGTGCGTTCGGGCTAACTGTTAGGAATTCCTAAATGGAGTCAATTTGTGTAGTTTTCTTGATTTATTCTACCTTTATTCTATTCTTCAACCTGGTATTTTTTTTAGATTTTATTTTTTATTTTTTTCGTCTGTTTTTTCGAGTTTAAAAAATGTGAGCTGGCTGGAGCCTTCATCCCTTGTCTATTTCTCACACTAGATACCAGCCGATACCCCCCCCCCCGCTCATAGAGACTGCGTATTACAGTTGATTATAATTCCTGGGCTCCCTGTGAATAAATGTTCATATAATTTATTTGAAAGTGTTTGTTGCATCTGTGTTCAGTTGTGTGCTTCGTCGTGCGGTAACCAGAACCCAAACAAGAGTGTGAATGTACGTTTTTAAGTCTCTATAGTTTGGAACCTCTTGATAGACTCCGCCTAATATAAGAAATGGTTATAATTATAAGACCAACAATTGTTGTTTGACAAAGGCGAAAAAAAACAATATTTATCTTTTGAATTCCGAATTACGGATTTAGTAAATGACATTACTTAGTAAATTTTGATTTAAGTTGGATAGTGATATTGAGTAAACAAACACAATATTATGTGTTTATTATGTTATCATTTACTACTGTCACATGGTCGCGTGGGTGTTGTTCACTCAGTTGCATTACACAAGGAACAATGTGGGTGATTTTGCCAAACGATTGTTATTTTGACAATTTATGAACATCAAACAAAAATAAAACAAACCTCGCATATAGTGAGTTGGAATGTATAAAATTAAGGCATGACGATAGACGTACGCCATTAGTCACACAGACACGAAATGAGGTGGTAATGCATATGATTCAAACTCATGAGAATACAATAAATTACATGGAATAATACATATGAACGGGTTTGTACGTGAACATAATACTGAATGTATGAGTACACAGACGACGAAAATTCTAATAGTGTATGCAAGACGAATAATAATAACAATAATATTAGCCATGCCATAAAAAGAGTGGATTCATGGCTTTCAATTTTCTTGGTCAAAAAATAGGCAGGTTAGGGATGTACCAATTAAATCCGTTATATGATTGTGCCTATCAACGATAAGTTACAACAAACTATGATGATGTTCAGACGAGTTGTTTTATAAATACACACACACCTACATATCAATATATACACACATAAATATATTCGATTAAGTATAAAATGAGATTATTACAAGAGAATTTTAAAATTTAAATTAAAAAAATACTATAAGACAAATATGTGTCTTTTTCATTAAAGATTATTTGAATGTATAATTTGACTTTCACTAGCCAGGTTTGAATGGCATCTATACAATATATGTGTACCTGGTTTATTGAACCATTGTTTATTTCTGAAAATCATTTGATATCCTTTGAAATTTATATTGCTTAAATAAAATGTCCAATAAACGTCTGATATAACATGGTAACATGATAAAATCGAAACAAATAATGATACTGTTAAACCAACTCCGCAGCAGACGCCGATCAGATTGTCCACCGTGATGCAATAACTGATCTCGCAGTGTCATATTCAAGAGCAGACCAAACAAAAACGAACACTCCACATATAAAGATTTGCGACGCCATTGTTGAACAGCAGTTTGTTACAATTATTGATAAATACGAATACGTACGAACCAATTTTGCATTTTCAGCAGGTTAATTGAGAAGACTAATTGTCTGGTTTCTTTATCATAAATATGCAAAGTATATCGAATCAAAATAATCGATTTCCGGAATACAAGGTGCACAAATGGGGGAAAATAATTCATTACTTGAGGCAGAGATAATTTTCGCAGTCTATTCAATATTTTCTAATAATGCAACTAACATATAATAAATAACGTGTACCATCTTGCCACACTATCGGGCATACTAAATTACCTACCAACCATACGGTAATTTTACACCGACGCATATGGTATCAGGTTATTTAGAAATATCTACTTGTTCATTGAAATGTATTTACACGAATAAACCTCAACTCTCATTGTGAGAGTTATCGCATCACATGAAATACCAGTAGTTGGATAATAAACACCCACCAGTATCCTAATAAATAACAAATATCTACAACAAATATTGAACAAATATTTAGTTTATGATTAGCCATGTCAACATCTCGGCGCGGATATCAACATGAATTACCTTATTCGTCAATCGCACGCTGGTAACAGGTGGATGATATGCTAATATACTGGCTCAGATTTCTAGTCAATATTAATCTAATACAGGACGTTGATTTCTGTTAAGTATAATCCCGGAAATATGTCTACAATACATTTGTACCTAGATTCTAATAGCCTACGTTTTAATAAAATGCCAATAATAAAACACTCATTATTTACACCTTTTGCAATATAGCAGCGCACGTGATAAATGCCGCAAACAATGAACGACTATTACACAATACACTTTTTTATTTACCAAGAAAATGTATTAAATTATATTTACGATTGTGATCGGTCTACCGTTCACTGTCGATTATGCAACCAACGAGGTGTTATTTCATTACTGGTATTTGTAGGAATATAATATATTCTATCACAGTTGAAATCAGTCCTCAGACAATGTAAGAAAATATGTCTACGTTTGTAGTTCTCCTATACTATTTAGTGAGTTGTGCTAAAAATGTCAATCTTAATAAGGGGTACATCAATTATATATCAGTTGTCCCGAGAGATTAATTGATAAGGTAAACCTGTTTAGGCTGGCTAAATGTGTCTTGTGGAAGGACAAGCACAATCCAAACCGCACATCTGCTAGACGCTGGTATCACGAGCTATGCAAGTCTGTTACCAGCACTGGGACCAGTTATGTATAAAATTTACCAATAAAATGTATACTGATATATTGAACAAACATTTTATTAGAATCTTGCAATTTTAAATCATTTGTATAATATACACAGGAATATTCTTTATGGATTGGATACG